TTTAACCAGGCTCAGACTCAGTCCCTGTTGCCATGATGATTTAACCAGCCTCAAACTCAGTCTCTGTTACCATGGTGATCTAAACCAGTCTCAGACTCAGTCTCTGTTACCATGGTGACCCAACAAGGCTTAAAGAAATCTTCACTGATTCTGAAAACTCAGACTTTCAGCTCATTATATCAGCTAAACTGTTGACCGCACTCTGGTAATCTACTAACCAGACTTCATGACACCTGATCTTCTTTTTAATAAAAGTCTGACATATATTCATACCTTCTACGGTTTCAAAGTCATGTTTGTTTATTCTAATATCTCTGTGAGGAGGAACGGTTTTACTGTAGCCACAAGAACGAACCATAATGATAATCCAGTTTAATATTTAAAGGTTTTTCTAGCAGCTGCTTTTGTAACAGGTTTGAATATTGAACATGTTGAGCACCATTGGATGGTCTGAACAGAAATTACATTAAGTGTTCTTCAAGCTTTGTTTTTTTTGTCTTTTTTATATTAACTTTAGCTTTTAGATAACATTCTGGTACTTTTTTATTTTATCTACTGTTGTACTTTTAACTTTATTCTTGATGTGACAGGGTCAAAACAAAAAAACAAAAGAAAAAAACTGCTCTTGATTTTGGAAATAAAGGTTTTAGATTTTTCTGTCCCAATATAAACAGCAACTGGTTGCTGTACTGATTAATGAAAAACAGTTTTCTGCAACAAAGGAGCAACATTTCCCTTTTGTTCTAATTATGGAAACAGTGTTTTCTTGTTATTTCTTCAACTTCCAATAATAAGATCCAAGCTGCTGAAGTGTTGCTGAGAGCTGAGCTGATTGTGCTTTCCATAAATTGTTGCATATATGTCAAGGGGACAATGAGTCAAAGTAAATGTGCAGCTGAGCCAAATATTGCTCAGAGGAAAGTATTTGATGGTCACTGCACTGTGGTCCAAAGCTTGGAACCAAAACTCTGTTTTTTTATATTTGTCTTTTATTTTATTTGTTGCTTGCTTGTATGATTTTAGGCACATTTCTAAAAGTAGAGCATATAGAAGGCCTCATGTTCAAATGTGTTTATGGGCCTTGAAGCAGATGAAAGTTATTTTTTTTATCAGAATGCATGAATGTGTTTAAGATTTAAACAGTAAACACATTTAACAATGTCTGACGGTATTTTAGGGATCGGATTCAGTGGAAATTCAGGGTTGGTTGATTCTGTGTTTCTGTTTCACAATGAGAGACTAGGGGATCTCTGAATCTTTCACCGTGCACTCTGACAGGTTTACTGAAAGAACATTAACATTATTGAGTAATTTAGTCATTTTTTAACTATCCCAATGAATTCATCCTATTACAGCCGTTTACATTTGAAATTGTTTACAAGCTCCAGGGGATGATGCTTTGACTCCTGTTTCTTGTGATATTTCCTGGTTTCAAATGCTTTTAGGCCTAAACTTGACCTTTTTGAATATTTCTGCCAAGGCACGCTCATAAGCAGCATCAGGCAATGCATGCTTGTTTGTTAGCAAGAAAAACAACAACAACATTTTTTAATACAAACCTACAATTGAAATTGAAACATTCACCCACTTTAACTGAAGTTTCAGTAATAAAGATTCTGGGTAAATGGACTGTACTTATATGCATATACAGTATCACCTTTCTATCTGATCAAGACACTCAACGCTCTTTACAACAGTCTGTGCCTCATTTACCTGTTCACACAGCTCTATACTAGATCTCTACAAAGACTAATCAGAGCTTTATCACATTCATGCACTGATGGGACACATCTGAGGCAATGAGGGGTTCAATGTGTTGCCCAGGGACACTTCAGCATGTGACGACTGGTGAAATTGAACCCCCAACTCTTGCATTGGGGGACGCCTGCTCTAACCACTCAGCCACAGCCGCCCCCACTTGTGGGTCCACTTTCCTCATTTAGTTTCAGAGTAAATACAGAATTTCCTTCTCTGTTTTTTGATTGTCCCCTGTCTCAGAGCAAAACGAGGAATTGGAAATATCTTCTGTCTGTTCATCCAACTGTGCATGTTGTACAATAATAAAATAAATGAGGTACCGACTTCCATTTTGGTGCAAGAACATTTCCTTTTCAACAATTGTGATGCCATGTCAGAATCAAATATATTGCTTAACAGCATGGTTTCCTCAAAATATTGGTGTGACTGAAGATCAATGTGGCAAAGGCCACCATTGGCCACCCCCTGGCTCCCTCTGGCTCCCCCCCGGCTCCCCCCGGCTCCCCCCGGCTCCCCCCGGCTCCCCCGGCGCTGTAGGTTGTTCCAACTGTCCCTTGCATTTGTGGATACAATTGCTCCCTGATTTCTCCAGGATCCGTCACATTGCGCTGCCGGGGTCGTTGCACCAGGAACAATCAGGTCAACTTGCATTACACGTTCAGTTCCAGTTCAGAAGAACTTAAAAAACTTTTACTGTTAAATCCCTGAGCGCTGGGGGGCATCAGCATTCTGCTTTTAGTCTTCAACAGATATCTACCTCCTCTAAATGTCCTCTTCTTAAATATTGCTTTTGTTTTTTGTCATACACAAGGTGTTCTACAGAATCTTTCAGGTGAAAAGGATGTTGGAAAAATAAGCAACTAGTGATTATGTGACATTTCTTTGCTTTTGGTTGCAGATTGAACTGTCGTCCATCGTGTCCCAGGGTGAGGCCACTCTGTCCAGTCTGGTCCAGAGAGGTCAGGAGCTGGCAGCGAGGCTGCGGGTGCTGCAGGTTGACCGCAGAGAGATTGCCTGTCTCAAGTTCCTCTTGCTGTTTAACCCCAGTGAGTAAATCTGACACCTGCTTTATCAAACTCTGCCACCACAAAGAAACAGTTTGGAAACAAGAGTGATGTCATCACCGCCATTTATTATGGACTGCCTGAAGGCAGCCACTTAATCCACTGAAAAGGCTCTTGCTCTTCCTTCAACGTTAATGCGTCCCAAACCACAATGTGCCCCCCCCCCCTCAAATGTTATATCAAAACGATCGGCTCAGCACTGTGATGTGTACTATTACTTTTATTGGGATTTCATGTTACCATGGTAACATAATCTGCAAATATACAATTTTTCTAGTTGAAAATAACTGACATCTGCCACAGTGAGGTCACATGACCTAGAATGGAGAGGTCTCTGAACAAAATACTGATTAACTTTTAGCAAGATGGCTGCTACAGCTACCTCAGAAAACTCAAAATCGACCATAACTCAGTCATCTCAATCTTTTTATCTTTTTATCTGTTGCTGCTGATACACTGGAATTTCCCATCCATGGGACAATAAAGGCTGTTTCTATTCTATTCTTCTATTCTATTGTTTTGAGATATTGAGCGGAGATTTGGTTTGGGCGTAGCCAAGAGTGAGTTATAATTCCTAATGCAAATTAATAATTGAAGATGGCCACCTTAGCTAAAAGGGAAACATTGCGATAACCCAGGTAGCTGACAGTGATGCTCAATACTGATGCTGAATTTAAATCTAAAAATTCAAGATGGCCACCAAAGCTAATTTCAAAACTGAAATTTGGTGTGGTGGTAGCTGAGAGCAGTGCTCAATAAATACGTATTTTAAATTAAACATCCAAGATGGCCACCAAAGCTACATTTAAAAGGCATCAACTAGAGCTGGGCGATATGGGCCAGAATTTATATCTCGATATTTTAAGATAAATTGCGAAATACGATATATAGCTTGATATTTTTTCTTTCCGTAAATTAATGACATAAATATATTTCTGAGTCAAAGTTTTGTCCCAGTTGTCACACAGTCACATTCATTAACAGCTGTAACTGTACAAAATAAACGCCTAAAAAATCAACTATTTACATACACTGAATAGTTTATTTTTAGACATCTATTTACATATATTAAATAATAATCCTCTTCAGCTGGGGGCAGCTGAGCCTGAGAATCTAGAGCAGTCATCCTCCAATGGGAGAGTTGGGGGTTCGATTCCACCAGCAGTCACATGCTGAAGTGTCCATGGGCAAGATACTGAACCCCTCATTGTCTCTGATGTGTGTCCCATCGGTGCATGAATGTGATGAAGCTCTTGATTATTCTCTGTACAGATCTAGTATAGAGCTGTATGAGTGGGTAAATGAGGCACAGATTGTTGTAAAGAGCTTTGAGTGTCTTGATAAGATAGAAAGGAGCTGTATAGGTACAGTCCATTCAGCTGCGCCGCCTTCGTGCTAGTCAGTGTGTGAGAACTGAGGTAGTGAGCCTCCACTTGGAACCATGAAGCTGCAGCTCCGACAGACCTGACTCTTCCTTGAAGCAAACCACGGTGCAGAGCTCATTTAGCCGTGCTGAGCCTTTTAGAGGAACAGAGAGGAAGTGCAACATTAATAAATCAGTAGTTTATCATATCACTAAGACATGGTCCCGTCTCAGCTGTGGAACAAGACAGCTAAAGTGTTAGCTCTTGTTAGCCTCTAAGGACTGTATCAATAGTGATATGATAAACTGCTGATTTATTAATGTTGCACTTCCTCTCTGTTCCTCTAAAAGGCTCAGCACGGCTAAATGAGCTCTGCACCGTGGTTTGCTTCAAGGAAGAGTCAGGTCTGTCGGAGCTGCAGCTTCACACACGCTCAGCTGCTGTTTACTTCTGCTCAACGTCTCCTCCTGCCCCCCCACCTCGGGACGGGGGGGGGGGGGGGGGGGGCTGTGTGTTTGTGTTCAGGGAGGGAGGAGGAGGAGCGCGGCGAATGGAGAAAGAAAACAGCAGGAGGATTTCCAAGTGTAAAAACTACATAGTTTAATATCGAGATAGTCTCAACTTATATCGCAAAAAAAAAAAAAGATATTGATATTTTTAAACTATCGAGACTAATCTCCAGTCCATCACAGGGACACATAGAGACAAATTAATTTAAACTTTATTTCTACAGGTTAGTGTCACTGAGCCTCAAGGACTCATTTACAAGAGAGACCTGATTTTAACA